TTGTTAAGTTTCTATTGTTTATATTGTAATTTATATTAAGTTTTCTACTCAAACCTTTTAATTGTTTCTTGGATAAACTTCCTTGAATAAGCAAATGGTAGCTGCCACTCTTTCCCCCTTCTTCAAAGATTACCAGTCCTCTGTCACTTTGCCCTTCATACACACCATGCTAGGAGAAAGAAAAGTATTATCACCTCAGGGGCTTTGTGATGTCCATTAGCACCCAGGAATGTGGTATTGCTTTGAAGGTTAGGAGTCAGACCAAGATTTGAAGGCCTGGCTCTGCCACTAGATAGCAATGTGGCAACTTGGGCAAGTTCCTAAGCTCTTCTGGGTCTCTCCTTGGCTATAAAATGGAAATTATAAAGCCTCCATACAGGGTAGACAAGAAGGGTTGTGATAATGCATTTCAAATGCCTAGAGGGACAGGCATATAACAGATTCAATAAAAAGTGGTTATTTTTACAATGGCCCCAGAGCTAGATTTGGGGTCTCTGACAAAAATGAAAATGGATTTGCACACAGGGTAGTCATCCCAGGTGGACAAGCTATTCATCTAGCCTGGGCGAGAGAAGTGTTCCCAAGCCTCGCTTACTAACGCAGAGGGTTGAAGAAGAGCTTTCCTTAGAGGCCTCATTCCAAGTCATGGGTTACCCTAAGGCTTCCCCAAGCTAGCAGGCATTTTCTTCTGTGTCTATCTCATAGATTCTAGGAATTAGAAAAATAAAGTTCAAAATCTCTGTGTTTTTAATGTCTAACATGTCCTGTAGGAAGTGGTATTTCAGGACAACAGATTATCCCGAGTACTTTAACACAACATGTACACTGATATTAAACAACACCAACAATAACAACCAAATAAATAGCTAACTATCCTTAAGGGGAACAACCTCTTACAGAACAAGAAAAATCACACACTGATTTTAAAACTTCATTCCATCCAAACTTTCACGAAGAGATCAGGAAAATAAAGTGTTTAGCAACAAGAAAACATCTTATTGAGCTTGAAAAAACACTAGTTTTATTAGTGTGTTGTAATGTACTGATAATGGCGTGGAAGAAAATGTTTTTCTTTCCCTTACATGTCTATTATGATGTCATTTCTATTTTTTCTAATGAGTATTACATTGTTTTTGTTCACTGTAAAAATTACTTTAAAATGGAAAAAAGTTAGCAACTTGGCATGTATGCTCATTTGTCATTGTCAAGGATTTTGGAAAAATAAAAATGAAAAGGAAGACAAAATAAATTGTCTCATTAATTTAGGCGTAGTAATTAGGACTGTTATGTTTTACAACAAGCTAAGCTTATCTTTTTATTACTTTCTTTTAATAGAGAATTAGTAAACTAAGAATCACAAAAGAAATATTCAAATGACATAAGAGAAACAAGTATGTTCAAAGAATTCTAAAATCTTTCCAGTTTTACTTATGAAGTCCTTTGTGGCATCATACATTCTGGACAAACTGGTCTCAATGTTCTCTAAACACACACAGTATTTTCTCACCTCTCTTTGTCCAATGCTAATCTATCTTTGTAATGTCCCTCCACCTCCAACCCACATTCTTACCCTCTGAAATCCTACCCTTCTTTTTAAACCCAGCTCAAATGATCTCTCTTCAATAGAACCTCCCCTAATCTCTTCTCATGCCAGAAATTCTCTCCTTTCCCAGTAGCCACACAAAAGGTAGACATAAACAAAGCACTAATATGTGGTGAAAAGTCTTAAGATAGTAGTAACCCTATACAGCCAATACTACCTACCTTAGTATCAGCTTCCAAAACCAAATGAATAGCTCTAGCATCTCAAATTTGACTCAGAGTACACAAGAGAATTTAAACAATATTGATGCCAATATTGTGTATTTTGCCAAGAATTACACTATGTATATGTATGTAGGTATGCACACATACATAACACACACACACACACAATGAAGAGATATTGATGTCCTGCAATACATGAGTGCTTTTAAAAAACAAAGTAAAAACAAAACAAAATTAAAAACCAACAAGAAAAGTAAACTACTGTCCTAAATTCAAAGCTAAAGCCCTATTTATTTCTGGGAAACAAAATCAAGAGTTAGTGTCTAAAGAGCATTTAAAGAAGCTTGAGATTGGTTAGTTACCTGTTGTATTTAGAAAGGGCTAGGACTGTTTACTATTCACAGAAAAGGAAATACTAATTATCTTAATTCTAAATTCAGAACTGCTCAAAGGGCTTTGTAAACTCCAGGAAAACAATAATCTAACCATATAGAACTCTAATTCCATTATTTACAGTGGAATATACTTAAAGGAACAGAAGGGCCACATCTAGTGCTATGACCCAATACTGGCTGCTGTGGCTCAGTTGGTTGAGCATCGGCCACGCACCTAAGGAAGGGTCGAGGGCTGGACTCCCAGTCCAGGGCACGCACCTGGATTGCGGGTTTGCTCCCCACCCCGCTGGGCCCTGGGCGGAAGGCAACCAGTTGATGTGCCTCTCTCACATCGATGCTTCTCTTCCCCCCAACTCCCCGCCCCCCACTCTCTCTGAAGAACAATGGAAAAAGTATCCTCCTGTGAGGATTAACAACACAGAAAGATACTTATCCAGAGCCACTCGTTATTTCATCTAATAGATTTTATTAAGTGCCTATTAAGTATAAGTCACTATTATTAATTCAGTATAACTTAGTCGACAGATAAGAGCTCTATTCACATTTAATGGGATAGACTGATAATAAATTTAAAACAAATATATACTAGTTCCAGATAGTGGTAAGTGGTAGGAAAACAAACTAAACAAACCATGAGAATGAGCCTAAATATGATTTGGGGGGTAAGGGTGTTCCTTTTAGAAAGGGAGGCAGCTAAGTCAGAGGATACTCTCAGCCATGAGCTGAAACCATGCGAAGATCTCAAGATCTTGGCAGACACAACAGCCAGTGCGCAGAGGCACAAATGAGTTTGGCCTGTTCCAAGAACAGAAAATCGGTCCCTGTCACTGGGACACAGTAAGAATGGGGAAATGTGGTAGCAGATGAGGTCAGAGATGCAAGCCAGAGTCAGATCATGTAGGGATTTAGATGCCTCAGGAAAAACTGTAGATTATAGGCATAGTAAAAAACCACTGGAGAGATTTACACAAAAAAGGGATTGATGTTTTTAAAAGGTAACTGTGGCTTTGGTATAAATGAAAGACTGTTCCATACAAACAAATGCTTAGTAAGAATTTGACGATGAATATTTAGGGTAGTCAAACATAGCTTATTCACTTTAATTTGAAATTAAATAATGATGGCTGAGAGCACCGACCCCTATCTGCTACCCAAGAGAAAAGGAAGGTGCCACCTGACTTCAAAATACTCTGCTACAGACTGGCCTCTAAGAAAGCACAGCAGTCCCACCATATTCATAGGGGATACGTTCCAAGACCCCCAGTGGATGCTCAAAACCTCAGATAGTACTGAACCCTGTATGTACAATGTTTTTTCCTATATATAAATACCTATGATAAAGTTTAATTTCTAAATTAGGCACAGTAAAAGATTAACAATAACTAATAATAAAAAAGAGCAATTACAACAATTATACTGTAATAAAAGTTATGTGAATGTGATCTCTCTCTCCAGTCATTTTTATATTTTTCAGCCTAATCCTACTAGTCCTAAATCTGTATAACCATCCCTTACTTGCAGTAAGCAGCTTGGTGTCAGTCATTTCAGGAGATCCCTTGCTAAAATCTTCATATAGGTTCAATGCTTTCTGGTGAAACGAACTGCCACCAATTGAAACATTTTCTGTTCATGTCTTCCACCCACGAATTCAATGCCTTTTCCATCTTATCTAAGCACTTATCACACACTGTGGCCATAACTTTTACAGCGTAAGGTACAACAGCAAAAGTAACACAAATTTCTTTTTCCTACCCCACAATTTCACGGATAAAAAAACTGTAGATCTTAGCAACATCAGCATATGATTTTTTTCATTCTTTATTAAGTTGAGAACTTTCACCTTTTCACTTAAAGGAAGCATTTTATAGCTTCTCTTTGGAATATTCAAATTGCCAAGAATCACTACTCTTGCACTCTGGCCACTGTTAAGTAAAATATGGGTTACCTGAACACAAGCACTGCAATACTGCCACAGCCAGTCAATCTGATAACCTAGACGGCTACGAAGTGATTAATGGGCCCTAGAGGGTATACACAGCATGGACACACACTGGACAAAGGCCGTTTCACGTCCCAGGTGGGACAGAGCAAGATTTCACCATGCTACTCAGAATGGTGCAGAATTTAAAACTTATGAATTGTTTATTTCTGGAATATTCCATTCAATATTTCCAGACTGTACTTGACTGGGAAACTGAGACCACAAGTAACTTAAACCATGGAAAGTGAAACCGTGGCTGGGGAGGGGAAGGCTACTGAATTCAATCCAAATTAAGGAACAATCGTTCTGAAACTATCCTATAGTTCTGAAAGCCCTAAGAATAGCACATTTTTCTTGTTCAGTTCCCACCTTACCGCCAGCAGGTCTAAAATCGGAAGGACAGCCTCAACCATGTCCTCTAAAAGAGGCTTCAATTATAGTAAAGTCTTTGTAATTTATACCTACTAAATTGTAATTTCTCTCAGCTAGTTAATATAAAGAAATTAAATCTTAGCTCCTCTAAAAATACTTAATAAGGTGACTTTGCTTATGTTGTAAATAAGATTATAAAAGAAATAGTTTAACCAGTAGTTTTAAATCTGTAAAAAACACCTATTTACAATTCAACTTTTGATAAATTGACTAGACATCAATCTTATCACTGTTGTTTCCTTCTAAGAACTTCCTTAGTAACCTAGTTCAAATTATCATAAATACTTCAAAGCAAAAAAATTCTATAATTGTTTTTAAGATTCTACCATTCTCATTTTTCACTAGTTTACAGAACATCCTATTTTCTAGTTTGAACTACTAAAGCAAACATTATTACCGTAAGAAAATACAATACATAATCATACCTCCACTTTAATTCTCTTCGGGGATAATTCATCTCTTTCTCCACATTTTGACCTGAGGGGAATGGGAAAGAGAAAAACTTAGAAAGGTAAGAAATTTTATTCTAAAGACACCTCGATCTGAAAACTTCCACCAAAACAAAATCCTGAAACCCTGACACCAGAAATAAGACATGCATAACAAACACTGAAATGATGAAAACCAGACTTTTTATGATTTCTAAATTAACATTAAAATATGCAGATGCATTTATATTATACATTTTAAAAGATCACTACTCAGAACTCTCCACACAGAAAGTACTCAATAAGTATGTAATGATCATCACATGATGAAAAGGGGGGAAAAAAAAATCAAGGAGGGTTGTATTCCATAATATCCCTTTATGGTTCAGTAGAAAAAATTTAGGACAAAATGACAAAAATGGCCATTTAAGATGAATACTTGAAACTACATGAGATTAAAATATATTTTCTCTGTCTACCAAAACTACGGATGCATTTCCCCTTGACCTAGAGATCCCTCTGCTGGGTATCTATCCCACAGAAGGACCTACACATACATGAACTACTACTGCCAATTAACGATGACAAGCCATCAATTGTAAGTTACACCTTCATATAAGAGGCTAAAATGTCAAAAAAGTACATCTCAGAATCAACAAAATACGATATGCATAATGTTATTTATTGTGGTATTATCTGTAATGAACAAAACTAGAAATAACTCAAGTATCCATCAACGGGAATGATTAAATGAATCATGATACTTCAAGGTAATACCTTGCAGCTGCAAAAAATAATGAGGAAGATGTGTGTGTACTAATATAGGGGTGGGCAAATGTAGGTTTACAGTTGTTCGTATGGTAAAATATATGCAGGTTATTATTATAATAATAGCTTTATTAGCTCTGGCATACTCACAATTATAAACCTACTTTTGCCTCACCCTGTATAGAGAGATCTTCAAGACACGTTAAATAAAAAAAAAATACAGAATAATGTAGACCCATGCTACCTATTTTTTTTTAAGAAAGGTGAAAATGAGAAACTATACTTGTATTTCTTTGCATGTGCATACAAACACTGCAAGGATAAAAAAAGAAAGTTAAGCTACCCACATTGAGGAGAGAAACAAGGTAAAATGAGACAGGAATGGAAGTACAACTTTTTTGTATTACCCATTTACATAGTTTTGTCTTCTAAATTATGTAAAAGTGTTTTATGTATTTTAAAATATACCTAACTTAAAAAAGAAATATAAAGGTAAATACTACAAGAAACAGCTAAAATTTGTTGAAAGTAAAGTAGTTGCCTCTAGGGTGCCCTATTAAGAAGGGGAAGGGGGGAAAGGGTAGAGCAGGGGAACTGCTGAGTTTCATTATAAGCCTTGTGTACTATATGATTTCTTAAATCATGTACATGTACTACTCTGATTAAAGAAAATTATTTAAATAAAGCAATCAGAAGGAAAATTTTGTATAATAAAGAAAAATTTAAAACTCACTAAATGAGCTCTTGATTAGCCAACACCAAAAAAAAAAATCTTATAAATAATCCTGTAATATTGCTGTTTATTCTTACCCTGTTCATTTAGTCTGCATAATTTTACTTGTCACTTTGTAAATATGTGAGCTTGAGTAGGGTAAAAATGAAGCTGCTATGAGTTAGGAAAATAATGGCGATGACAGCAAATGCCTATAATGGCTGTTTTTAAACTTCAATGTCCATAAGGATCATCTGGGATGCTTGTGAAAGTCTGAATTCCAAGGCTCCATCCCCAGAGACTGTGATTTATTAGGGATAGAAAGGGTGCTCAGGATGTGGCTTTTCAACACATGCTCAGTTACTCTAATATAGGTGGCCATCTGCAGCTACTCAGGGCAGCAGTGGCATGCACGAATGGTGCACTGGAAATCAGGGTCCATGTGGAACCAAGTGAACAAAACCAGAGCAGTCCGATATGTATAATGCTTACAGTTCAAGTGAGGGAGAGGTAAAGAATAATACGGTGTGTTTACATTAAATTTTAAAACCATCATTGTTTTATAACATTAAGTATTTTTTTAATTTCAAACACATGTTCCATATTCCACTTGCTAGTAATAAAAGTACCTTCCAATTTTCCCTAAAATACTGGTCAATGGAGTCTTTTTATCTATTCAGCTAATCTCATTAGATTGCAAACACCTTTCAAGAGGAACTAATCTGCTTCCTGAGAGGTCAAGTTCTTACAGTTAGTATTATACAAATAAGTCTATAAATGCTGACTAACTAAACCCCATCATCATACTCAAAAACAAAGCATGTGCATGACAGAATATCTAAAACCCTACCAGAACAATGCTACAGTGGTAGGGAACTATTAAAAAAAGAGAGAATGAAACAACAAAAAACACTTTGGCAGTGTTTTGAAAAGTCACTTTACTATTTAATTTTATAGTCACACTTTTTCCAGAAATGCTTATATGGATGGTATTTCAAGCTCTACTGCTATCAAGCAATGCAAAAGTACTGCCAATTAGTTNTGCTATCAAGCAATGCAAAAGTACTGCCAACTTACTTGGTGGTTCTGTAAGTATATTTATAGGTGACTTCTCGAGAAATCTGCCTAGCCAGGGCAAAAAGTTCATCTCTTCTTGTCAGGAGGGCATTATCCTTCACACAGAGCTGAGCAGCCGCTTCATTAACAGTGAGCTACATATCAAAATAAAGTTTTAAAAATTATAAACATTTTTACTTCATCAATATATAAGATATTTCACTTAAGATATACAAATGTCATATCATTATATAATGAAATAATTTATAAAAATCAGGTCTTTATTTCTAATTAGTCCTAATGCCTAATTTCAAAAGAAAATCAGGTCATCTCTCAGAACTCAAACTAATCAAAATAGTCATCTTAGTTTTATTTATTTTATATGTTTTACTTATTTTTGTTTAGGTATGAAAGTTTATGGAAAATAAGCAAAATAAATAAAAAGTAAAAAATGTTCTGCATCTCATTGTACTTATGAAAAACCAAGGAATGTGACTATGTGATATGGTGATATTTCCCTGAGTATACATGGTCTGGCAGATTTTTTTTCCCAATGTGAATGGACATAAAATTTCCTGAAGGAATAAAAATTAAATGATTTTAGTTAAATATTTACCAAATCACTTACTAAGAACAGTTATCACAAATTAGAGCTATAATGGAAAAGCAAGGTCTCAGAGTCACTGAATCTCTAAGAGTCATCCAATTCCGCTCTTTCATCTGAGTTAAATATTGCCAATACAGAGTTGCTAGTTGACCAAACACCTTGTACTAAAATTTAAAATAGCAAATGTTATCCAAAACACAAAACCTGTAATTGTTTATAATAAACTAGAAAAAAAATTTTCAGATAATTTTGTCAATTTAAATAGATGTAGAGAACTGCCAAGAGTTATATTAGACTTTTTAAAAAAGCAAGAAACATATTCATTTAAGGCCTGATGGCAAAAAGAGAATGGGATTTAATGGCAGGAAGACCTGAGATGAGTCTTGCTCCATCATTTACCAGCTAAGTGACTTTGGACATGTAAAAACTCAGAGCCTCAAGTTTTCTCAGGGCCCAACAGGGATAATATATCACTACCTCAAAGGACTCTAACAAGAAGTAAGTGAGGAGACACACCTGGCACAAAGCTGTTGTTAGTGTTAGTTCTTATTTTCCTTTTATAAAAAATCAAGCATTTACTGCTTCTCCTTATTCAGGCATCCCACTTTTTTAATATTTTTTCTTAAATTTTTAAAAATACAGAGAAGCAAAAGACGACAATACAGCATGCAACCATCCAGAATGACTTAATATTTTAATGTATATGATTCCGATATTTCTCTGTGTACATATAAACATATGAATATAAATGTGAACACAGATTTGTAATTTTTTTCACTTATGTATGCTGTATTCTTTACTTTTATAATGTATTAAAGCAGAGACTTGGCTTACTTACATCAGCATCTGGCATGGATTAGATGCTCAATAAAGATTTGTAAAAAAACGTGAGATAGTTTAATGTCCAGAATTAGGCTGATTTAAATACTAATTGATAAATTTCATAAGTACCAGTTTATGCACAACCACAGAGAATACTTTTAAACATAAACTAAGTTTTCTAGTATTCCTTCCATCACCCTACCAGAAACCAAGAAAAACAAACATAATGTTCTTTATCACTGAATTCAGGCTCCAACATACCAAAAAAAGTAGACTGAACTCTCCAGGCCCTCAGGGAGCTTTCTGGTAAAAAGCTGAGGCTGAAAAATAACTATAGCTCACCCCAAGTTGTAGTAGTAAGAAGCCAATCATCAAACTTCCCCAGCAAAAATGTATTTTCTGTCAATGTTTTCTAGATTATATACTCCCAGTCACTAATAATTAAATCAACAACTATTATATATTTTTTAAATGATACAAATAATCCAAAACAGTAGTCGCTCACTGTATCACCACGCTAGTTTTTTTTTTAATTCTAAGTTTCCAATTTTGTTAAAAGTATAAAATAAAATACTCTCCCTAATTGGTTTACTTACTCCTCCACTTCCTCTTTTTGTGGCTAAAAATACCAAAATTCCATTCATAGCTTCATGTAAAAAATTTCTTAAACTTAGCTTTCTGTCTGTTGTAACTAAATTTAAAAACTTTCTTTCCTGGTAGTTAAAATTATAACCTTTAACAATCAAATGATTGTGACCTGGGTTCAATGTTGTTAGCATAACAATACTATAAGAATGCTGTGTGACAGGGAGGCTCAAAAGGCAATCAAGACTTTCATTTCCAGCATTGGCCTCTCTCACAGATAACTAAAATTTTTGGATAAAATAGAGGGGAAAAACATTATCTTTAAATACAATGAACCAGTAAAACAGTATGGACTACTCAGGTCAAAATGAATGAAGACACTTTATCAAAGGAGTACATTAAGGACAGTTGCTATACCAGATGAACTTGAGCTTCAACCTTCACAGCCTCGTGGGGCTGGAGACAGTGGAGGGAGAGTGGTGAGAGGAAAAGTGCATGTGGAGGGAAAGTAGTTAGAGGAAACAAACCAGGATCCATCAAAGGTAAGGAGTCTAAGACCTCTCCTCCATAAAGCTGAAATCCCAAAAGCAAGTAACCTCTAGAAGAATTCATTTTCCTCGTAGGCTTCAATACATTCCCACAGTTCCAAGAAAAATGAGTTTATAGACAGAAATCATAAAACATCCAAAAGAAACAAAGCATCAAAAGTTAAAACCAGCAGAAACAACAGATAACAGAATCAGACCTTCGAAGACTCCATTTAAAGAAATAAAAATAATACAGTAAAAAAAAAATACCAGGAAAAATTGAGAAATCAGGAGAGATAAAACTGGGGCAGAGGCAAACAGAAGATTTCAAAAGCAGACAATAGTCAGATAACCACTGACTTTTAAACACAACAATGAAAGCCAAAAGCCAAGGAAATATCTTCAATTACCAAGGGAAAATAATTGACAATATAGAATTTGATGCCCAGAATAAATATCAATTAAGAATCAGGGCAGCCCTGGCTGGTGTGGCTTGGTTGGAGTATTGTCCCATACACTGAGAGGCTGCACGTTCAATTTCACAGTCAGGGCACATCCCTAAGTTGAGAGTTCAATCCCTGGTCAGGGCACGTATAGGAAAGCAACTAATTGATGTTGCTCTTTCACATCAATGTTCCTCTCTTTCTCCCCCCCATCTCTAAAAAAATCAATAAGCATGTTCTTGGGTGAGGATAAAAAAAACCAATCAGGGCAAAATAAAAATAATTTCTAGTGGAGTGGGGAAGGACAAGGTTTGCCACAGGTAGACCTTCATTAAGAAAACTCTACATGATGCACTTCAGGCTAAAGTAAACTTATTCCAGATGGTCAATGTGAGCTATAAAGAGTTGGGAAGGGGAAGAAATACAAAACAAATTAATGGAAATAAATTCAAATGATTATATTAGTCATTATAATAAATGTAAATGAACCAAATGTTCTAGTTAAAAGATAAAGAATATAAGACTGGATTTTTAAAAAATCCAACTATTGGTATTTATAAGAGATGTATATAAAACACGGATTAGGAAAGACTGAAAAGTAAAAGGATAGAAAAAAAGATCTAGCAAGCAATTACTAACAAAAAGAAAGCACAAGTACCTACATTAATATCAAAGAAAATAAATTTTTGAAGCAAAATGCATTATTAAATATTAATAAAGTTACTGCATAATACAAAGAGAAACAGACAACTCCACGACACAGTAAGTGATTTTAACACACAACTCTCAGAGCAAGTAAAAAAAAAAATTAAGACTAGAAAATTTGAAAAAGCTTGTTAAAACAGACACACTGCAGAACACTTTTATCACAACTGCAGAAACACATTAAAAACACTGACTACATACAGGCCATAACTAAAATCTCAACAAATTTTAAAGGGTTGGCAGCATGCTAACCATGTTCTCTGACTACGATATAATTCAGTTAGAAGTCATTAGGAAAAATAATTAAGGAAAAAAACCTTCATATTCGGAAGAAAAAAAAAAAAAACTTCTAAAAACTCACTGGCCAGAAAATAAATTATCAATAAAAAGAGAAATAATCAGAATTAAAAATTAAGATAACTTCATATCAAAACTTTAAGAATTTTATATAGTCTTAATTGCTTACATCAGAAAAGAAGAGCTGGACACTAATGAACTAAGCACCCAACTTAAATTAGAAAAGAACAATAAAATAAACTAAGAAAACAGAACTCTCTCACACACACACAGCACAACTAAGAAGCAAGTTTTTTTTGTTGTTGTTTTTTGTAAAAGGTCAGATAGAAAATATTTTGGCTTTACAGGCCAAATAGTCTGTTACAATTACTGAACTCTGGCATCATAGCTCAAAAGGAGCCACAGACATAAGCAAATAGGTATGGCTGTGTTCCAATGAAAGTTTACCTGCAAAATCAGGAGGTGGGCCAGGTTTGGCTCATAGGCTCTAGTTTGTAGTTCCCTGAAAAGATTAATAACATTGACAAACCTCTGGCAAGATTGATTCGGGGGAAATATTTAAATATATAAATAATATTAGGTCTTAAAAACTACAAACAACTTTATGCCAGTGAGTTTGAAAACTTAGATGAAATGAACATATTCTTAGAAAAATGTGACTCGCCAAAAGTGACTCAAAAAGAAACAGACTACTCCAAAAGTTCTAAAATCCATTTTTAAAAATGATCAAAAGGAAATGGCCAACATTTTTAAATATTAGGTGCTGAAATCTTTCCTTTCTAAGTTGCAAGTTCAAATTAAAGCATTATTAACTTATTAATAAATGTGATCAGGTCTATGGGGTTCCCAGATTCAGCATTTTTCCTCTCTCAAAACTAAGATTATTGACGTCCTCTGAACACTCAGCCTTGACTTCTCAACACTACAATGGAAACTGACCTAAACTTGGCGTCCTCCTTCTTGCCTTAATAATGTGCTTAGCACTCCAATTCCCGTAAAAGCTCTACTAGGTCTACAGTTTACCCACTGACTCTGTCTACATGCCCCTCTTCCCCTTCCCATCTTCGAGTTCCAGAGGTCTTCGGCTGGAAGTTGCTATCTGCCGACAAATATACTATCATGCTAAGTTGTCAACCTACTTATATTTCTGAATATTACAAGCTCCTACATTCTCTGCTGCCTTGATATTCTCAACTTGCAGTTTATTGCCCTTCATCCATTCATGATTTAAGATCTGACACATACTTCTTGTTCAGTTTACCACAGACTCTGCTAACACATCTTTGAACAGATGGAACACTGCCTGCCTGGACTTCTTTCTAGAACTGCTTCTGGGTTCATGCCTTACACCCACCCCACACCAACAATTAGTGTGGTTCTAAGCCTCAGCCCCCCACACTATCTTCATGGCCTGACTCCTATAAACCAGGCCATACTTAGCCAGTTCCTAAGACCAGCATTGACTCTTTAGCTTATAAAAAAGTACTTAAAAAATATTTTTAAAAATACTTTTTTAAAAGTTAAAAATATTTTCAGATGTAGACAACATTCTTATTTTCTTATAATAACAGACATACAGCTCTATGCCTTGAAAGATTAAAAGAACATTGTCCGCAGGGTTTATATGAAAAAGCCTCTCAGAAATACTACCAATAGTGAATTAAAGTCATATATTTCCTTATTTGGAAATTGGGGACAAACTAGTAACATTTGTTGATCTTAGGAATTTAGAAAAACTCAAAAACCTTTCTCTCATTTTAAATAGTCAAGTGAAAAAAATGTGAAATTATCATGATACCTAAAAGGTACACTTAATAGTACTTTCTTTTAATTCCCTCAGGATTTCATAACATCCACCAAGCTTTTGAATAGTTACTACTTTGAAAAACAAATTCTGATTTATAAACTTCTATCCTGACCTATATTATTGGACCAGGTTCACGTACTGGAATTACAAATAACAAGTGGTATAAGTTAAGTTTCAAAAACACAAGTCACATTTTCCAAAGTCCCCACCCCCACATCTCAGCCTACTAGCATTCATTTTAAGTGTTCACTTATTTTGGGAAAACCACTATGGTTTCAATACTTAAATACCATCTGTACCTATTTATCCAAAGAAGCTAAGAGCCCCTTAGCAAAGCCAAGTGTGAAATAATTCATTTTGGATATTTTAAAAATAGATTATAATTTTTAAAAAATGTGAGGTCAATTGGGTTTATTAAAGTCATCTCTTTAACATACTTACACTTTGATAAAAATATAGATCTTCTAACTAAACTTGTGTTTCATCTGCTATGTTCTAAAAATTATACGAAAACTGGATTAAAGCATGAAATAAAATTGCCAACATGTTATGCCCTTTGTTTTCTATTACTGACAACCATAATAGCCTTTTAGAAGGTTTTTTTTTTTATTGGTTCATAGGCAGTGAAAGTGTCCAAGTATAGCCAAATTATAACACCAAGTGTATTTTCTAGCTCCACTCACAAGTTCTCGTGAGTCAGTTATTGTATGGCAACAATAATACACAATTGCAAAATGATATGAACAAAACAGATCAAATCACAGATTCACTGTGATTAAGTACGTTTGATAACCAATTCTCTGATTTTAAGCTCCAGTACACACTCACATCTAAAATCATTTAAAAAGATCAAATAGTAAAACTGCTGCAAACATGATTAATATACAAAAATCAGCCAATGAGAGCAATTTTTTTAAAAGTGGGGAAAAATTCATTTATAAATTATATCCCTTTTATATCTTACATATTTGTATATTCTATATAAACAAATTAAATTTACATGAATATATAATATACACATTAACATACATATATAATACACAGTATATGACCTAATAAGAAATATGCAAAGCCTATATAAATAAAAAACTTAAAAAATTACTGAGGAATATAAAAGACCTAAATAAGTAAATACATACACTATATTACTATATGGGAGTTTTCATTATTGTAAATATGTCAATTTTATCACAAGTTAATCTACACTTTAAGGCATTTCTAATGAAAATACAAGCAGAAACTTTTGGGAAATGTATTAAAAAATTTCATTTGAAAGGAGAAATGCATTATTAACTAAAATAACAGAAGCTGAAATACAAGACTATTGAAGGGGCACTGCCTTTCCAGACATCAAACTATATTATTTAGCTAAGTTAATTACAATAACTCTATACTGGTGAAGGATTAGAGAATTACACTAATAAACTTATACAAGACAATAGATATTATTACATAAAATTAAACTTCCACATGGCAAACAGTCTGAAAGGTCAAAGGACAAGTGAGAATGTGGGAAAATGTTAAAATATATGACAAAAGGTTAATATCCTTAAAATACAAAAAGTTCTTACCAATCAATTTTTTAAAGGTAAGACAATCTCAATATTAAAACAAAAATATAAACATAAAATTGAATATCTGTTAAACACAGGAAAATATATTGTTTATCCTCACTAAGCAAAGTAAATTTGAGCAATGAAAATTTTTCCTCTACTAGACTGGCAAAAATTTAAAAGAATGATAAATATCAATAATATTGTAATAACTATGTATGGTGTCAGGTGGCCACTGGAAATATTGGGGGGAATATTATATAAAGTATATGATTGTCTAACCACTATGCTGTAATATATAATTATATATTATATATAATTACAGCATAGTGGTTAGACAATACAAAATAATACTGAATGTAAACTGCAACTGAAAAAAATAAAAATTTAAAAAAAGAATGATAAATGCAATATTAGCAAAAGTATGGAGAAATGGACCCTTGCATATAAAGACAGTGATGATGTAAATTGTTGCAGCTTTTAGAAGGCAATTTAGCAGGATCTACTAAAATATTAAGTTTACATATCCTTTGCTCCCATAATTTTACATGTTGGGATCTATTCTATAGAAAAACATGCAGAAGTCTATAAAGGTGTATGTGTGTTATAGTCACATACCACCATACTTAATATAAAAAAACGAACACAACCTAAACGATAGCAAAAAGTGAATGGTTAAGATACATAATGTAATACAGTACAATGCAACCCATAAATAAGGTAGATCTATGTGTACTGACTTTAAAAATAGGTAATAGTATATTGTACTGTGAATGTACTGTTAAGTTTAAAAAGAAAGGATTTGGAGAACAGTGTGCAAAATATGATCCCATATTTATATATGTTAAGAAAAGTATCTGAGAGTTTACAGATTCAATCACTTTACATTCTTTTGCAATTAGTATATATTCTTTTTTAGTGTTCAAGTACAAGTCTGGGGGAAAGATCTCATGTTTCTAACATAAAATTCTGCATACAACTGAACATTTTTTCAAAAAAAACTTACTTCTTTCTTCCAAAGGAAAAAAGGCTATTAGAAATTTAGCTATGAAATAGCTTTTTTAAGTCTTGAAAATGCATTTATTTTCCGAGCATTTGTTGGGTGTGTTAGGCTCTGAGGACATAAAAATGAATGACATTATTTCTGCCTTGAAGAAACCCAAATATACGGACAGGGACGGACCAGTATATAAATTAAGTACAATGAAGTGTTGCAGTTGAAGTGACTGTGACAGTAGTATATGTAGGGATAAAAATGGGAAGGAAAGGAAACGTCATTCTAATTGAGGGAAAACATCAGAAAAGAGTTAAGCTTATGCTTGAGCTAAATCTTAATGATGTGCTGGCCAGTGGACAAGAGAAAGGGAGCATTGCAAATGAGATATATATGCATTCTTACACGTAAGCAGAGTATTTCTAGATAGAGTGCTATGAGGACAATGAGAAATCTTAATGCCAAATGTCAAACCAAAACAATACAAATCCAAATAAATGAAACCAAAGTCATAATAATTCTTCCTGCATTCATCTCATTTTGCTTTCTATGCTAGCTGAAAATTCCTTTAAGTTCTGGTTATTTCTACAAAATTTTTTTTCCTAAAAAATGTCTACAGCCCTAGCCAGTGTGGCTGAGTTGTTAGAACGTCGGTCTGTGCACTGAAGGGTCTCAGGTTCGATCCACCGCCCCAGCTGGGGCATGTGTGGGAGGCAACCATTCGGCGTTTCTCTCTCTCTCTCTCCCCCCTCTCTCTCTTCTATTCTCTTTAGAAATCAATAGAAAAAATACCCTCAAGTGAGGATAAAAAAAATGTCTACAAAAATGTTTTTTAAATGAATGGTTATATTTAAAATCCTATTAAACTTCTTAATTAAAGAACAAACTAAACTGCCTTGTAAATGCAAAGACTTCCGCTTTCACTGTTTAAATTCTGACATTTTTCAAAGTCATCCTACACTAGTTCCAAAGCTCAACATGTTTGAGTTCAACATAAAAATACCCTAACACAATAAATATGCTCTATTTTCACAAAAGTTATATTTTGCTAAGACCTACATGTTTTTAATGTTGCTTTCAGGGAGTGTCTCTCCTCTGCTGCAAACTATTACCAAACTTTTCTCTTAGGAACACAACAGGCCACATACAGCCAGAGAAAAAGTGGATTTTTTACCTCATGAAGCGTGAGATGTTTCCCGTCCTTTCTTTTCGAGTCAAACCTGCCATATATTGCACTATATTTTCGAATTTCCTCCTCTTTGTGTGGATCATCATCACTCATCTCAAAGATGTGACCAATCATTTTGGCCAACTTCTTGTTGGTTTTCAGCAGCTCTTTCACTTCGCTCAAGTCGCTTTTAGGCAGCGTGGAGGCCATTCGCTCCACACACTCGGCCACAGAGAGCGCGGCGGCAGCATCCAGTGCCTCGCTGGTTTCCTTCGGGGACGCTGGGGAGCCAAGGTCTGCCGGGGAGAGGCTGTGCTCGCTCTCGGTGGCATGGTGGCCTTGCCAGAGCCTGGACTCACCGACGCTTTGCAGCGCTAAGCTCCCCACCACGTCTGATTTCCCCTGTCCCAAGCTCTGCACACAGGTGATGGCAGCACACTTGGGGACTTTTACATGAGGTTCCCGGGCACTGCTGTTCCTTTCGTAACTGTTACAGGATATGCCCAGCCACGTTGGTGACCCCTCTGGTAATTTATAGATGGGTATGCTGCTAACAGGCAGGGAAGTCAGCGGCTGATTGAAAAGGCCGGGGTTTGTAACCCAGTCTCTCAAAGCCTTCTGTAGCCTTCTCACATGCAGGGGCTTGCTAGCCATGCCCACAAGGGCCATGATTTCCAAGAATTCCTCTTCTCCAGCTTCACAAAGTTGCTGGACATCATCACCACCTTGTTGGATAAAGGCATCAAAATAAGAAAGCAGATTGGCCTTCTGTAATATTCTATACAGCTGCAACTCCCCCAGGGTCCTGGGTAAGGCCGCAGCCATTACTGTGGATGTGCTTAACCTGCAAAGAGAAGAGAGTAAAATACTCATCACATCTGCTCCAAACTCTTACACCTAGTATTCGTTAGCCACCACAGGATTTGAGAGTGCAGTATGGGAAGAACAAACCAAGAAGCATTTGCACAGCAACTGACTGTTAAGGAAGCATGTTCTCTGTACACAAGTTATCTCATTTTACTCTCCTAACAATTCTAATGATCAGTATAATTGTTTCCATTTTAAAGAGAAAATTATAAAGACTCAAAGGTAATACGTAATTTGCCTGAGATCTCGCAACTAGTTAAGCAGAAGTCTAGAGACTCAAACCAAGGCTCACAGGGCTCTATGTCCCATATTTTTGACTACGCACTTTGGTGTCTCTACAGTGTGGACACAGAGGTGAAGTGAGCAATACTCAAATTCAGAAAGCGGTAAGAAGTATATTATTCTACCATTCACTGAATACTTATTTTGTACCAGACAATCTGATAAACATTTTACATTATATTATGTATAATCCTTCACACAGCCCTGGAAGGTAGGTATAGTTATTCCGTTTCAAAAAGGTAAAAACAGCAACATTAGTCTGGCAGGCAGAGGAAGATAGCTTTCAGTATGAAATGGAGATGAGAAGACAGGAGATGGTGTATTAGGAACCAAGAAAAAAGAGGCAGGAAAAAGTCAAACAAATAAATGACAAGACTTGGTGATCATTTAGGTATAAGTGATGGAGAGGAAATCGTTACCATTTTTTACACTTTCTGTGGTTCCAGGAAAAGAGTAAGATGACTATGGGAGATTCTAGAACTGTGACAGGCACTGGGGATACAGAAAAATTTGGATGGGATTTCCTTTCAAACACATTGCACTTCATGGCACAGCACTGGAGTCTAAGTGTGTACACGGGTTAGAGATATAGTATGAAACCGAGGAGGGTGAGGGAGCCCTTCAAAGAAGCTACGGAGAACCTAAGTTAGAGCCACGGAAGAAACATAAATCGTAGAGCCCAAGGAAGACAGAGAAGCCTGCCTTTAAAGTGAAAGAACAAGACCCAGCAAAGTACTTCTTGACCTCTTAGCAGCCTTTAAAAGTTATTCAGAGTTGCCTGGAGACCTCCCACATACACAGAAGTTGGCCGAGTACTTCCATTTAAGAGAAACAAACTTGTAATAACGCACCCTCTGAGGATTAAAAGGACCCTGTAGCCCTCTATGGAGAAAATTACAGAAGGCTAAAAGAATACATACATCAGAGGAAAATAGAAGCTCCACTCTCAATTCAAAATGGTATGGAACAATCATTAACTGGGAGATAAGGCAACAGGAGGAGTATTAGGAACATCCCTGAAGGCCAGGAGGAGACCAAATCTGGGACTTTTGCTTTATACATCAATCAGAATGCTACACAGAATTCTAGTCTCAGTCACCCCATCCAAGGAGAATACATCTCCCTACCACCCTAAGGACTGACTCCTAGGAAGCCCCATCTCCTGGAACCTCTGTGTCATCCACAATCTGCTTTGATCAACTAGTGACCTCCTCAAATTTTAAGGCTTTTTATTTTACAAGGGTATTGCCAGGTGAACTAATGACTTTCCAAGAGAAATAAAATCTGGCAAACTACACTAGAAGATCCCTATTTAGTACACCCTCTGGGCACCACAAACTCCTCTATGTTCTGTGATCAGCCAGGTTCGTCAAGTCCACCTTCATGTTCATGTCACCTCAATCCTCTGAACAATAACACTCTTGCATCTTCTAAATCACCCACAGAATGATCTGCTTGTCCTCCCACTCCAGGGGAGACTCCAGGGAGAGAGAGTATCACCCAGCTGGAAACTAACCCACAAAAACACAGCTCTCTGGAGTTACAGACAGAGTTAAATTGTTTTTTACCATTATATCAAATAGAAAGGCTTCTATAAAGTGTCTAAGGTGGAAGAAAAGGAAATTACTTTCCCATCATACACCTAATGCAACAGCTCCATAGGCTATCAACGCAAGAGCATACAAAAAAAATACATATACACACCTGTATGCAAGCATACACACATAAAATCTTTTTTATAAGAGAACTGTAACTTTGTAAGGTTTATGATATCAATTATCATATGTATTCCCCCAAATTATGAAATAGAGGAAAGACTATATGAGAAAATCTAGAATAGAGTTTTTGAATCTTTTTATGAGCAATAAGAAAAAATATATATTAGACAAAAAAAAAAAAAAAGGAAAGAAATTTAAAAGAAGAACCAAAGACCCAAACTTAGGTCTTATTCTTCTGAGATAAGGCAATGATTTTAGAAAATATTCATTTTCAACTGTTTATCTTTTCTCATCTTTACCCAGAAATAAAGGAAACCCCCTAGATCCTAACAGAAAATGCTCATGTACTGGTGAGAAAGTAGTTATGACTATAATATTTCTGTAAGGACTGACAGGACCAAGTGTACATTTCCAAAGTCAAGATGCCAAATGAAAGATAAATAGGTGAACTATGAGAGTCCCAGGAGGCTTTCTAAAGGCCCACACTTACTACTGGAAAAGTAGTTTTCTCCCTAAGCTTTTACATTCGGAGAATGTTTCAGTTCCCTACAAAAGCCTGTTGTGATCATTTAAACACCCAGCACTTCATATATAAATTGGAATTAATTTAAAAGAAAATTTTTATGAGGTTTTCTGTTTTTACAAACTCTATTCCTGCTTCAACATGAAGGTCAAATAAATCGAGAAAGCTTCTAGCTGCATCTCTCCAATCTGAAGTAAATATAAAAGGATCCTAACACACTATATACAAGGAACTAGCAGTACAGTAAATCTACTCAGCTGTTCCATGACTCCTCATCTAGAACACTTAGCACAGCATTTATCACAGTGTTAAAGTGTCTGCTTCCTTGTCTGTCTCCTCCCTCTTAAATGATTCTCCGTGAAGGACCACCTTTCCTCTGCATCCCCAGGACTGACTCAGTAACTGGCACATCTGAATTAGAGGGAGAGAGAGAGAACATATTGTGGGGTTCAGAGAAGGGAGAGTACCCCGAGAGCTGGGGTATGGGAGAGGCTTTTTGGGAAAGGCCGTGGAGGTGCGAGGGAAGAAGGTGTCTCGCATGGGGTCAAGGGAGTAGGAGGCACATCTGGGGAATGCCCAGTGTATCTGTTTGGCAGGAGCACAAGGGCATAACAGGGACCAGGGAGAAAGGTGGAAAGGCAGGCGTGGGTCTGGGGTGCCTAAATGAGTAGTTTGGATTTCTCTATCTATGCAGTTGGGAAACTTGCACAGGTGAGTGAAAAGCCACACCTGTACTTTAGGGAATTAAAGTTGGCATTGCAGTGAGGGATGTTCTGAAGGTGAGGAAGTTGCTTTCAAAGTTGGGACAAGAAGCAGTAAAACTTAGAACTAGATGCTTTTGAGGCAGAGAAAAAAAAAGGGGGGGTGAGGAAGTAGCTTAAGGACATGTAGGTTTGAGGAAGAAAGAGGAAAACACAAAGGTGGAGTCCCTACACTTAGTAATTCAGGAAACTGGAGAGTAATGCTGCAACTAAAAGAAATGAAGTTGGAAAGAATAAATTTGGGAATCTGGAAGAAGGGAGGAAAATGAGATAAATATACTTTCTTTTGGACTTATCAATTTTGAGATTTTGATAATCCTCAAGTAGTAGTTGAAATGCTGAATTATCAGAAAAATTATTTGAACTAATGGTTCTCAATCTTTTCAGGTATGAAGATCATTTTAAATAAAAAATTGCAACTATTCATTGATAGTTTTAGTATTTGTTGATTGAGAATACATAACAACTACTACTATGACTTTGGTTATAACTTTAATTAAATGACTTTATATTTTATTAATTCATAAAGTGTTTACTTAAAAAAAATTTTTTTATTATGTTAGGTCATTTATTTGTGGTTTGTCTCTGTGTTTTTTGAATGCTCATCTGAGGATAGTTTTTCCATTGCTTTTCAGAGAGAGTGGGAGGGAGAGAGAAACATCAATGTGAGAGACACATCGATTGGTTGCCTCCTGCACATGCCCCGACTGGGTGGGAGATTGAGCCTGCAACCAAAGTACGTGCCCTTGACTGGAATCAACCCTGAGACCCTTCAGTCTGGGGCCGATGCTCTAACCACTGAGCAAAACCAGCTAAAGCATGCTTACTTACTTTTCACTTGCAAAATGGACATGTGTGAGAGACATCTTACTCGGTAGCCAGTGGTTGGTGTGCATTTGGATTTGAGAACACTATGCAATAACTCATGGTCCCTGGTCCATGAACCACTGATCCCAGCTACACTTAGCAATCTGGAGGTTAGTCTGCTAGAGGTGATAACTGAAGCTTGGGAGTGGATGTAATCATCAAGGGAGATTAGCAAAAGACAGTAGAAAAGAGATCTAATTCAAAACTTTGGAATTAAAGTTTTGCGAAGAATTGCAAATGGAAGGTAGGGAAGACAACATAAATCTAGGTGAAAAGCATTTCAAGGGATGATGTCAAGGTGCAGAGAAGTTAGAGAGATACATTAGTAGTTACTCGCGAGTTTTGAGAGTTGTGGGGACACACTGCAGGCTGAAGCTTGGAACACACTGAGGTGGGACTGAAGGAATAGTTCTTTTCCCTAGTGACCATTAAGGGGCTCTGTCCTACCCTAAATCCCCACATCCAGCTTGGAGAACATCAGGGAAGCTGTTTCCCACAGCCATATCAAGTGCTTCCTTGTGGGGAAAGGACTATGCAAGAGTTGTTAGGTTATAAGCTCCCTGAGGGTAGGAACTAGGTCTCATTCATCTTTTATCCCTCTCCCCCCACTCCTAGCATGTGTTCAGTAACAACTCTATAAAGGATGCTGTTATATGAAACCCAATGTTTGAGTCAGAATCTGATCAGCAGCCTCCTTTCATATTCCAAAAGGGATGCCTTCCAGTGTCCCAGTTAATTACCAACCAAAGAACAGCCCATCCTGTTACTTTACCTACAACCCTTTTCATTCTCTCATCCTCAATACTTCCTCTTTTTTATAAGGCTATATGGTGAGTTCCCATAACACAGATATTTTTCCAACACATCAAAGGATGCTCTTCTCCCAAATACAAGAACTACAC